AAATCAAATAATTATAGTGTTCTGTCCATATCAATATATCAATAAATACTTCAAAAGTGCACCTCAACAAATAACATATACACACAAAGTATTTAATTTCAATATCTTTATTCCAAAATTTAACCCAAATGAAACATTTTTATTTTTTTCCAATGCATACACCCTGATTGAATTTTTTAAAAAAACTATTTTGGGGTTTTCAACTTAATTTATCAAACATATTTCCTTAAATGATACCAACTTACCTCCATGAAAATAAGTGCCTTAAAGTGGGGGATGCACTTCATTGCAGTCACTGTTGTTTACTGTGCATGATTTTATTCCCTTTCCCATTGAAATAGAAAAATAGAAAAATACAGAGTTCACACATCTTTAGAAAGAAATAACCTCAGACCAGGAAATCTTGAAAGAGCAACTTTGATGTCCTTGTTTCTCATACTGTAGATTAATGGATTTAGCATGGAGGGGATGATGGAATACATTATTGTAGTTATCAAATCAAGGGGTGAAGGACTGTCAGATATGGGCCTTAGATAAGCAAACCAAGCAGTAAACAAAAATATGGTGATGACAATGAGGTGAGGTAGGCAAGTGAAGAAAGCTTTTTTCCTTCCTTGAACAGAAGGAATTCTCAGAACAATAAAGAAGATCTGCACATATGTTACAACAATAAATATGAAACAACCAAATCCTAACGTAGCACTGAACAATACAAGTCCAATTTCAGTTATGTATGAACCAGAGCAGGCAATTTTAAGTAAATGGGGGATTTCACAATAGAACTGATTGATAATATTAGAGCAGAAAGGAATAGTGAATGTTTCAGTAGTGTTTACTACAGCATTGAGAAAGCTGGCAATCCACACAGAACTAATCATTTTGGTGCAGGCCTTCCTGTTCATTATCATTTCATATTGCAAAGGTTTGCAAATGGCCACATACCGATCATAGGCCATGACAGTCAGAAGGGCAACATCAGAGCCCGGAAAGAAGACAATCAAGAGGACTTGAACAACGCACCCAGAGAAAGAAATAGTCCTTGTATTCATCAGAGAATTAAAAACAGCTTTGGGGATAATGACTGAAACTGAACCAATGTCTTGGATAGCTAAATTCATCACAAAGAAGTACATGGGAGTGTGAAGGTGGTGATCAGAAATAACAGCACTGAAGATGAGAAGGTTCCCTATGACTGTTATTAAATAAAGGATTAGGAATAAAGCTATATACATTAACTGTTTTTCCCGAATTTTTGAGAATTCCAAGAGGAGAAACTCAGATGTGTGATTATCCATTATTAATCATGAATGATGATGTGCCTAGAAAAAATAAAATTTGAATAAATATATACCTGAATAAAAGGAGACCTGCTTAAGATTTTCCAACTATGAAGAATTTGAGGAGCAATTTCAAATGTTCAGTCAAGATTACATCATATCATGGCTTTCCAAATTGAAATAAAAAACTAATAAATGTAGATTAGATTAATGTACTTCGTTAAATACTGGCACTCTCTATGTTAAACCGTCTTCTTAAATGAAACTTCAACCTCTAGAAGCAGCTATCAATTTTATTATTTTCTTTTTTTTATTATTTTCTTTTTTTTTTAACGAGCTGTAATTGAAAGGGAAAGAAGGCTTGGAAAAGAGCAATGGATCATTTGGGGTAAAATAAGTAAGTGACTCAACAGGTAGATTTCTTTCTAAAAATTCACATTGTCTTTGTTTAACCATCAGTGAGATTTTTATCATTTTTATCCAGTACCTCTTGCCCTTTTCCCCAAAGATTTTTAGAAAGTGGTCTCCATTGGGATTATAACATAGTTAGTGTGGATTGGATTTTATTCTGTACTCTATGGAATAATTATTTATACTGAAGAATCCTACCGGGGGGGCAGACTGATCCCCTAATTTGTTGACTTTGAATGGGAGAAAATAGCTATTCAGTACACTGACTCTGTCTCTGTTACTTCGATGTATTGTTTTTTACCTCAGTATAATATTTGAGGATATCAGCTGAATCTTGCATGACTGCCTTTTATTTTGTTTTGTGTTTTCCCATCAGTCTTTGGTAGGAAACACATAAAAATTATCTTTTTTTAAAATACCATTGATTGATTTAAAAAAAAAATTGCATATGAAAAGCATAACATAATCCCAATTAATTTGATCAACTTGACCACTGGAGTCACATTAGACCATGATAACACCATAACGTCACCTCTACAATACTTGTTGTAAGCATTTATTTTTTTTAAAAAATGACACTGCAGCAGTGGCAACAGCATTCTCTTTAATGTTATATAAATGTAAAGATATGTAAACACCCACCTCACAACATAAAATAGGAAATTATGAGACAGAAGGGCTAACATCTGAAAAGGTCATACATTGGATGAATTTTAGAATTCTGCTACTTAAAAATTGGGGGGAAAGATGTACTTCTGGCTATCCTGATGTAAGCTGCCTTATCAGGTTTCAAATCAGGACATTAACATTTTTTTTCTTTTCTTTTCTTTTTTTCCTCTGTAGAATTCTTCAGCTAAAACAGTATAGACCTTTGAGTAAAGTCCCAAGGAGTCTGTGTATGTATATATGTGTTTGTGTATCTTTGTACACATGTATATATATGTATATGTATATACATACACATACATATACATATACTTGTGTATATACATGTATATACATGTATATGTATGTATATATAAATTTCCAATCCACAGGGTCTCTATTACACTGCCCATGGATATCAGCTTTTAATGTCTTTTGGAAAATGGGAAGACAAATTGGACTGAAGCTCACTGAAAGCTTCACAGAATAAAATATGATTGATGACTGCAGAAAGACAACTGACAAAAATAAAGCTGCAGAAATAAAGATGGTGAGTTATTCCTTTATATTTACCTCAGACAATCAATTCAGTTTCCCTTTCTTAAAGCTGTAATGTTATATTATGTTTATGAGATGACCTTTTCCAGGCTGGAGTTGCATGTGTGGAAGATTCTATTGTATCTGTGTGCTATCTAGTGGACCATAGAGACAAAACCTATATGCAGAAGATGTAGCTTTGTAAGTCTTAATTTTTCTGTGTCATTTGATTTCACAGGGTGAGTATCAGTTATTTCCTGAATGGCTGCAAGCTAATTTGAAATTATGTACTCCTGCCAATGGAAATTTTATTTCTGAAATCTTCTGCTTCTTTGATTCAGAATGCTGACTTTGTTTCTACTTTACGTGATGCTGTTCTTCTGCCCTTTGCTGCTGTTAGCATTACGGTAAAAAGGCATTGTCATTTTAACTGTCCATGAACTTGCTAATTCTTATTTGTATTTTCTGTTCTCCATCCTCCTAAGGTTTCTATACAGAATACTCTTTAACACTTTCTTTATCTGGATTCAATTTCGAAGAACTGCACTGAGATGTGAAGGGTGACATTCACTCCCATGGAACTTTTCAGGCTCCATATGGTCATTTAGTTCTTTTGTTTTTCCTCTTGCCCCCTTACCCCATTTTAATGGACACAAGGAGAAAAGGGGAATATGATCTGAAATTGAAAATATATATATATGTTGGTGAGCATATGGGATCACAAAAGTATTTCAAATTGATTTGGGGTTTTATTGTGCTTTTTAGGCAAAGAGTTCTGGCTTAGTGAGATGACAAAATGGTGTACTAAAATAGAACATCTTCAAGAATTATAGTCAATCCACATCTTTTTAAAAAAAAACAAAAATGAAACAGGTTCATAGAGATTTAGCAGTGAAGATACTTAAAATCATAAATATGGGTGTCTTTGGATAGGTACAAGTAGGATTAAGTTATTTGCTGATAGCCTTGCGTGTACATACGGTACTTAGTTGCTGCAAGAAGATTACACAGACTGACTACAAGCAACGGCATGACCAAGTAGCAACAATAGTGCATTGGAATATCTGCAAGAAATACCATCTGTCTGCAAG